TACAGTTTCAGTTCCACTTCCAATTCCAATCCTAGTTGAAATTCCAATTCCAGTTCCAGTTCTATTTCCAGTTCCAATTCCAATTCCAATCCCAATTCCAGTAACAGTATTAGTTCCTATTCCAATTCCAATGCCAATTCCAGTAACAGTCTCAGTCCCAGTTCCAGTTCTAGTTCCAGTCGCAGTTCCAGTTCTAGTCCCAATTTCAAGTCCAATTCCAGTTCCAGTTCCAATTCCAATCCCAATTCCAGTAACAGTCTTAGTTCCAATTCCAATTCCAATGCCAATTCCAGTAACAGTCTCAGTCTCAGTTCCAGTTCTAGTTCCAGTCCCAGTTACATTTGCAGTTCTAGTTCCAGTCGCAGTCGCAGTTCCAGTTCCAGTTCCAGTTCCAGTTCTAGTTCCAGTCCCAGTTACATTTGCAGTTCTAGTTCCAGTCGCAGTCGCAGTTCCAGTTCCAGTTCCAGTTCTAGTTCCAGTCCCAGTTACATTTGCAGTTCTAGTTCTAGTCGCAGTCGCAGTTCCAGTCAGAGTTCTAGTTTCAGTCCCAGTCCCAGTCTCAGTCCCAGTTCCAGTTCTAGTTCTAGTTCTATTCCCAGTTCAAGTTCCAAGTCCAATTCCAGTTCCAGGTACAGTTCAAGTTCTAGTTCCATTCCCAGTTACAGTTCCACTTCTAGTTCCAGTCTTAGTCCCGCTTCCAGTCCCAGTTCCAGTTCCAATTCCAATCCCAATCCCAATTCCAGTTCCAGTTCCAGTTCCTTCTGCGCTTCCGGTTCTGCTTACGTTTTGACGAAGGCAAAGTCGAGATGTCTCAATTAACTGGGACCGGAAGCGGCAAGCGGCAAGCGGCAAGCGGCAAGCCGGAAGCGTGTCTGTCGGCGGCGTTCGGTTGAATGGGCCAGTTTGTCGGAGAGAAACGAGGCCTGTCGCACCGGCAGCACCGCAGGCAGCCCGAGTCGCTCGACAGTTCGAGGGCACAATGAAGCGGCCAGTTACGAGTTACCAATTACCAATTACCAATTACCAATTACCAATTACCAATTACCAATTACCAATTACCAATTACCAATTACCAATTACGAGTTACCAATTACGAGTTACCAATTACCAATTACCAATTACCAGTTACCAATTACCAATTACCAATTACGAGTTACCAATTACCAATTACGAGCTACAAGTTACGAGTTACGAGTTACGAGTTTCGAGTTTCGAGTTACGAGTCGACGAGTCGCCGCAAACAGTGCCCTCTGCCTCTGCGCTCAGGCACAGACGAGGTCTCATCTGCCGGCGCCGCTGCCGCTGCTTTCGGGCTCGGCACAGTCCGAGGCTGAGTCAGGCAGCATTGGAAGGCACACTCGATTGGCCCATTTCACGTCAGGCCACTTCACCCGTCTGCCAGTGTCTGCCTTTGTGTGTATGTTGGCGTGTGCATCAACGTGCTGGAGACACCCGCACACGCAAGTGACGTGTGTTGTGAGAAGGCGTAGACAGTCTGTGCCATCCTGTCTATCCGCCCAGCTTGACACGACGCAGCAGTCAGCTCGGCCTCACGTCAGCCCCCAATCCCGTGCGCGCCCAACGCCCCGACTGATCGATACCTTTGGCCCGGCCCATCCAGCCAATCAGAATGCAGAATGGAGGGTCTAGACCGATGGACCAATCAGAAGACGGCGATTTGGGACAAACCCTAAAAGCCGGCTTGACGACTTGCAAGGCACTTGTCGCCACCAGCCCTTCAAAGGGTCCCCAATTGATGGGCTGCTCGTGTCGGCATTTGACTGCTTTCATACAAAATTCACTTGCATCGCTTGTTAAGGCAACCACGCACACGGAATGTC